TAGAATATTCAGTTACTCCCTATTTCAATGTACTTCTTATTAAATTGTCCATCACGCATTGAAACATCGAACTTCATGTTAAATATTACAAAGCAACTAAACGAGCTAAATGTAAAACTGCAATGAAAGGGAAACCCAACCTATGCCTTGCTTGAAGAAGTTGATTGTTTCGAGAAAAATATTTTTTGTTGAAGACACAGAGAGCGATAAATTACTTAATTTCGATAAATTTGAAAAAAAAAATATGATGAAACCAATGCTACTTATAACATGAATTACTTCAGCATTACGATAAACAAAATGAAGGATGGATTCACTGAGAGATTTGACCAATTCAAAACAAATTCAAGTACCTTGACGTTCATAGTAGATCCTCTCAACACTAAAACAAATGAGTTTAAGTTTGAGCTATTTGGATTTGATGTTGGTTCTCTTCTAATGAAATTGTTGGATTTGAAACCCAAACATTTATGGAGTGATAAGTTTACAGAACTCAAGAGAAAGTTAGGAGAGTTGGAAGTAAAGAGAAACATGCACGTTTCGCTACACAACGCATGGAATAGTCTTCCAGGATAGTACAGTAAGGTGAAGAAGTTAGCATTTGGAGTGCTGACGATCTTCGGGTCACTATATTCATGCGAGCAAGCGTTTTCTTGCATACAAATAATAAAAAGAAGCCAACCAGTTTTTCATCCAGGCATTTCGTCGGGGGGGGGGGGGGGGGGGGGGCCGAAATCTACCGCCCCCCCCCCCGAAAATTTCAAGTATCCCCCCCCCCCTCCCCGGAGAAAAAAAGTCTGGAAGAAACACTGTCCCCACCCGGGATTCCAACACTTTCATTTTAACTTCACACCAGAGGCGTAGCGAGGGGGGGGGGGGGGGGCGGGGGGGGGGGGGGGGACATATGTCCCCCGGGCGCCGACCTTAGGGGGGGGCGCCAAATTGAAAGTTTTGAGGGGGGGGGGGGGGTGCAAATGAAAAGTTCAAGGGGGGGGTGCAAATCGAAAGTTTGAGGGGGGTGGAAATCGAAAATTTGCTCCCGAGGGGGGCGCCAAATTGAAAGTATGTCCCCGGGCGCCGGGAAGGGTCGCTACGCCTCTGCTTCACACCTCATATCAATCGTAGTATAACCATATGTATGCCATTATGTAAATAGTCATTAAGTACAATTAATAATCATTCGGTTTTATTTGATGTTTGAAATATGTAAAATATGTTGGTGTTGGTGTACTTGTTTTAAATTGAAAAAAAATGTATTTAAATTTTTTTAAAAATTTAAAATTTAAAATTAAAAAAAAAATAGATAAATAAAAATTAGGGTAAAATTCAAAACTATTTTAAAGCGGACCGTCTGTGTCCATGAATATATTTTAAATTAGATTGAATTATTTTTAAGTACGTGGCAACAGGAGACAGCCCATGGGCGGAAAAAACTCTACCACTAGACCCCTTAATAGGGGATGTGGGAGGGGGGGGGGGGGTAGACCGTCGGGGGGGGGGGGGGGGGCTGGATCCGATAAAAAATTCATAAAACGTTTTAATAACAAGCTTTTATTTAATAGTACACTAAAAGGAGAAAATAAATTATACACTACTATTTAAATAACTACGCACATATAGAAGGCTTGACTTTTAAACGCACATATATATCAGATACTTGGTAGCTAAAGTAGCCTTAAAAGAATGTTACGGGTGTAGCTATTTTTTTGTTTGTGTAAATGTTCACCTCACAAATAGAAAGACCTACCAGCTCTTTGTAGTAATGTTTGATATTTTTTCCTTATATCTTCGTACCCGTATGTAAGAATATTTAACTTTTTTTCTTATATCTTCGTACAAGTCTGTAAGAATATTTGATTTTTTTCCTGATATCTTCGTACCCGTATGTAAGAATATTTGACTTTTTTTCTTATATCTTCGTACAAGTCTGTAAGAATATTTGATTTTTTTCCTGATATCTTCGTACCCGTATGTAAGAATATTTGACTTTTTTTCTTATATCTTCGTACAAGTCTGTAAGAATATTTGATTTTTTTCCTGATATCTTCGTAGAAGTCTGTAGTTTCCAAGCGTCATTTATTTCTGTGGTTACGTCAATTAACCCTCTCCTGTATCAATTATGTTCGTCATATTCACGCCAACAAGTATATTTTATTACTTTTGTTCTATAAATAGTCAGTTAAGTGTAAAAATAAAAATAAAAACCCTCTCTCATGTAAATATGCCCACGAGGTTCGACCGTTTGGTTACATCATAATCGAATCTGTATATAATTGACATTTATAGAACTAGCATAGACACCGTTAAAAAAATCATTCAGATGATTTTGTAATGAAAATTCCATAATTTAGAATAAAGATTATAATTATGTTAGAGGTTAATCAAAACAAAGTAATGGAGAATGAAGGGAGGGAAGCATATCCAACCAAGGGAGGTGATTTATAATCGAATAGCTGAAAAAGAAAGATAAATTTTATGGTTAAATACATTCTAAAGCATTAAGTTTTATTCTATTGCTCAAAATAATTGTTTAAAATGATCACGTTTCTTTTATCAAAAATTTTAAGTTTTATATTTCTACAAATTAAACCACATTTAAGCTTGAAAATGAACACAATAGCTTTATTTTATAGTTAATTCTTGAAAGTTAGATAATTTACATTATATTATGTTTCTTCCTTGTAATTTTCCAATGTTATTCCTTCCGAGGGACATCTTTGTAAAGCCATCATTTATATCTATTATAGTATTATCCTATATGTCAGGGGTCGGCAACCTGCGGCTCGCGAGCCGCATGCGGCTCTTTTGGTGTCCAGTTGCGGCTCTTCAGCTCCATGCACAAATATTAATAATTATTTTATTTTATTTTCAAAACTCATAAAAATATTAGTCGACAACACTCGGTAATAAACGCTATAACAATAGGTATAAACAAAAACATTCACTATTCTATTTAGTTACTCCCTATCTCAGTGTACTTCCTATTACATTGTCCATTCCGAATTGAAACATTCAACTTCATCGTGGATATCTCAAAGAAACTAAACCAGCTAAGTGTAAAACTGAAAACCCAGCCTATGTCTTCTTTGAAGAAGTGGTTTATTTCGAAAAAAAAAAATACTTTTTTTTTTGTTGAATACATAGTGAGCGGTAAATTACTTAATTGCGAAAAATCTGAAAAAAATATCGTTATGAAATGCTACTATTCAATCACTTCAGCATTAATATAAACAAAATGAAGGATGTTTTCACTGAGAAATTTGAGCAATTCAAAACAAATGCAAGTACTCTGACTTACATAGTAGATCCTCTGAACACAAATTCAAATAAAATTATTTCATACTTTCAAAACTATTTATTTTATATTATATATATAGTATGATATGTTTAGGATTTATATATATATATATATATATATATATATGTATATATATATATATATATATATATATATATCCTAAACAAATATACTATTGACATAAAAAATTAGTGGCTCTTTAAAAACCGGGTAATGTTGTAAATTTGTAACTTTTGGCTCTTTCGTCTCAAAAGGTTGCCGACCCCTGCTATGTCATATTAAAAAAAAAAAACGAAAAAGTAAAAACAAAAAAAACAAACAAACATAGAAACACACGAACTCACACGCTGTATGTAGAACACCACAGCGTTCAGGTCACGCAACATTGCTCCTGATGTGTGGGCCACCGTACCCAACCAATCCCCACCCCTTTCAACCCATGCCGCTATGACCCCGCCCACCCCACCGATACAGTGCGACATTCTGACATGATGGCACAGTTTTTTGTAAATTTTATTAATGTATTAATTTTTTATGCTGTCAGTCAAGACAAGTTCCTTTATTATATATATATATATATATATATATATATATATATATATATATATATTTATTTATTTATACATATATATATATATATATATATATATATATATATATATATATATATATATATATATATATATATATATATATATTGCATAGCTTTACTCAAGGTTTCGATACAGGATGGAATATCAGCCATAATATTGCTGGATCAAAAGAGTCTTAGATTTTATTTCTTTAAACTTCAGATGCCCCTCCCGCAAGCGTGGCCATTAAGACTATTTAATTGCAATCAGCTTCTCCTACATCCTCGGCCCGTCATAAAACATAGCGCACCTAGTGGACCGAGTCTCGTTTGATTAAACATTTAGACTAACGATCCCGGCATGCGGTGCGGTCGTGGGTGAAAGGTTAGAGGTCACGTGCTGGGATTAGCGTTAGTTAGTGGCGAGGGGGAATTCACAATGGGAGGGGAATAAATCATGAAGGGGGTTAATGCGAGGGTTTTTTTTGGGGGTGGGTTTTAGTGCTTAGAATCGTGGGTGGGTTAGGATTATGGATTATCTGTCTGGATGGGGTAATTAGGGTAGAGTTGGGAGGTTGGCTGGATTTTGGATGTAAGGGGGTCATTTGTTTGTGTGAAGGTGTAGGGGGGGGTCAAGAAATTGTTGTGGTTAAGGGGTTTTGTGTGTAGGGGTCAAGGTGAAGGGGTCAACTTGAAATGGTTAAGATGTTGTAATTGTTTTGTTCAAGGTGGACCTTTAAGGTGTTTAGGGTAAAGATGTTTGGGTCAGGGTGTTTGGGTGAAAGTATTAGGGTCGAGGTGTTTTGGACAAGGTGTTTGGGTCAGGGATTTTGGGTCAAGGTGTTTACGACCATATTAATAATCTATCACTCAACATTCTGAGTGCATGATTGGTATATCACTCAATATTCTGAGTGCATCATTGGTATATCACTCAATATTCTAATGGCATCATTATTATATCACTCAACATTCTGAATGTATGATTAATCATTCGACATTCCGATGGCATCATTGGTATATCACTCAACACTGATGACACCATTGGTTTTTCACTCAACATTCTGATGACGTCATCACTCAACATTCTGATGACGTCATCACTCAACCAACTCACCCCTTGTCTTGCAGGTGTCCCACAGGGCTCTAGAAGAGCGGGTGCTGAAGCTGACCGTCTATGATGTGGACAGACACAAACGTCACCAGGTCATCGGTCACGCTCTTTACCCCCTGAGGGAGCACGCGAGCGAGAGCAACGTGCGTCTGGTCGTGTGGCGCGACCTGGAGAGGGAGGTCTCGGAGGTAAGGGGTGCGCAGTGGTAGAGGCGTAGCGAGGGGAGGGGGGCGGGGGGAGACACATGTCCCCAGGTGCCGACCTTAGGGGGCGCCAAAATAGGTTGGAAAAATAAATTGAAAGGTTGAGAGGGGGTGCAAATCGAAAGTTTGAGGGAGGGGGGGGGTGCAAATCGAAATCAAATCTTGAGGGGGGGGGGGGGGTGCATATAGAAAGTTTGAGGGGGGTGCACATCGAAAGTGTGAGGGGGGGGGGGGGTGCAAATCGAAATCTTGAGGGGGGGGGGTGCAAATCGAAAGAAGTTTGTCCCCGGCGGCCGGGAAGGGTCGCTACGCCTCTGCACATTGGTAAACTACTAGCAATGCTCAGTCAGATGTAACGGGGCATGGCATTAGTAAACTACAACCTATAATTGGCCGTTAAAAAACAGGACATTGATGTAGTACAAGCATCAACTTTTTAAAAAAAGTGATGTGGCATTACAGTAGTGAATTAGTAGCATTATCCACTTTATACTCTGAAGTGAGGGAATATATATATATATATATATATATATATATATATATATATATATATGTCATGAGCTTAGACAGCTTTTTATCTAATTTTGTAATTTCAGTGTACCACCAGCAAGGGTGAACTTCTCATCTCTCTCTGCTACAACAATCATCTAGAACGCCTTACGATTGGTCTTTTTGAAACACGTGATCTTTGTGGCTCTTCACCGATTGGCCAAACAATGGGTGAGATAATGATACAACCCTCGGCACGCGTTCAATAAAATAATAAAAACCTGATAATTTACCTATCGAGGTTTAGAATTCTCGTGTATAACCTTCAAGGCCGGTTCTAAATATAACTAAGGTAAATTACCGATTGATTTTTTTCGTTTCCTGCTGCAGATATTTACGCCAAGGTCAACTTGATGGTGCAGAACAAACAGGTCAAGGCCAAGAAAACGGAAATGATCAAGAAGACGAGCAGTCCGAATTTTAACGAGTCTTTTACGTTTAAAGTGTCGGTGACGTCATTGGACACGGCATCCATCACCGTGGGAGTCATGCAACACGTGAGCGGACACAAAGGTAGGTCGTGGGTCTCTTTTACGTTATATGGTACCAGGTAGTGTACACAAAGATAGGTCGTGGGTCTCTTTTCCGTTATATTGTACCAGGTAGTGTACACAAAGGTAGGTCATGGGTCTCTTTTCCGTTATATTGTACCAGGTAGTGTACACAAAGGTAGGTCATGGGTCTCTTTTCCGTTATATGGTACCAGGTAGTGTACACAAAGATAGGTCGTGGGTCTCTTTTCCGTTATATTGTACCAGGTAGTGTACACAAAGGTAGGTCATGGGTCTCTTTTCCGTTATATTGTACCAGGTAGTTTACACAAAGGTAGGTCATGGGTCTCTTTTCCGTTATATGGTACCAGGTAGTGTACACAAAGGTAGGTCGTGGGTCTCTTTTCCGTTATATTGTACCAGGTAGTGTACACAAAGGTAGGTCGTGGGTCTCTTTTCCGTTATATTGTACCAGGTAGTGTACACAAAGGTAGGTCGTGGGTCTCTTTTCCGTTATATTGTACCAGGTAGTGTACACAAAGGTAGGTCGTGGGTCTCTTTTCCGTTATATGGTACCAGGTAGTGTACACAAAGGTAGGTCATGGGTCTCTTTTCCGTTATATGGTACCAGGTAGTAAGCACAAAGGTAGATCATGGACCTCTTTTCCGTTATATGGTACCAGGTAGTGTACACAAAGGTAGGTCGTGGGTCTCTTTTCCGTTATATGGTACCAGGTAGTAGGCACAAAGGTAGGTCGTGGGTCTCTTTTCCGTTATATTGTACCAGGTAGTAGGCACAAAGGTAGGTCATGGACCTCTTTTCCGTTATATTGTACCAGGTAGTGTACACAAAGGTAGGTCGTGGGTATCTTTTCCGTTATATGGTACCAGGTAGTGTACACAAAGGTAGGGTCTCTTTTCCGTTATATGGTACCAGGTAGTGTACACAAAGGTAAGTTATGTTGTCTCTTTTCCGTTTTATGGATACAACCAAGTCAAGTGTATCACTGCATAGACATTGTTAGTGACTGTATCGATATATTGACTATACTAGTGTATTGATACATTGGCTATTTAAGTGTACCGATACATTGACTGTTTTATTGCATCGATGCCTAGTTTTTAAGTGTACCGATGACTTGACTATTTAACTGCATCGATACATTGACTGTTCAAGTGTATCGTTGCATAAACTGTGGAATTGTATTGATACCGTGACTGTTTAAGTGTATCGATATGTTGGCTATTTAACAAACAAACAAAAATGGCGGAACTCTGACCTTGACTTTAATTTATACCATCTAGCACTGAGAAAAATATGTCCTTGTGTCCGTATTATGCTACTACTTCCTTACTACACATTATTTCTTGGTAAAGTTAAGGCAAGGGTATCGAAAATGTTGGATTCAGAATTAATAGTTTAAATTAGTGTAAGAATCGAAGTATCGAAGAAAGGTTATATGCGATTAGATTATTTTATAGTTTAAGCATGGAGTTAAAGTACCGAAATAGGATTATCTCAGACAACAAAGAATCGACTCCTCTCTCAACATCAACACCTTAGATTACATCCTTCGAGCCAGCTTCCAAAAAAAAAACAAGTAATTAAAAAAGTCTAGTGACAATTTTAGCGCAATTTCCTTGTGTTATCTAAAAATAGCTCTGTCGTAGCGTAAATCAATAGCAGGGTTAGTAAAACCATTGGTTAGTTATTAAAACATTTTTTATTAATTTTTTTTTCAGTATTTTACATGTTTTATTTACAATAGAGTAACATGACTAAAAACCATTGCGCGCCCAGCTACCGAACGTGACGTCGCAGCCATTGAACGTGATGGCGCAGCTATTGAACGTGATGACGCGTGTGGTGTGGTTGCATAAAATGCCTACTAATTCGGTCCAAATTTTAATTAATTCAAAAAAAAATTGTGACCGAACGAAAGGATATTTTTGAAAACTTTCTTCGGCAATATTGTTCTAAATTATGGCAGGAATCGATTGGTACATGTTTCAAGTCGCTAAGTGGTCTGGTTGCCGAGATATGGGCCAAAAACTGCATTTTTTCGAGGTTGTTTGGCTTTTCCGGGAAATCCATGAAAGAAACCCGTAATTTTTATGGCCTATGTTCATCCTCGTAACTTGCTTAACATAATTGCTTTTGGAACTAGTCATCGATATTGCTTCGTTGAGGAGGAGATACGACTTAAAGCTGCGGACACACATCCATCCATCCATCCATCCATTCATTCATACATCCAGAAATGACGGGTTAATAAACGCAATTCTCCAGAATGGAAATTGCGCTAAAAAAAAAAAAAAAAAAAAAAAAAAGAGCGGCACGCAATCCGTTTCACCTTGACCTCCCCCTCCTGTCCCCGACCCCCCCCCCCATGTCAGCAGGTGTCAAACTGTGCCGGCTCATACGTCTCGTCACGACAGGCACGTGCATTGTTATGTCACCCGCCCCGCTCACCTTTTGTCAGCTGTGTGCGCGTGAGGCGTTGATGGCAGGACGCGCGTGAGAGCGTCAAGGGAGATAAGCGTGTCGTGTTTCATTGTGGGGGGGGGGGAGATGAACAGGGCAGGATATGTAAAATACTACCCCCCCCCCCAAAACATACAAACATACACACATACACACACATTGCGGGGGGACAAAGTGGGCACGTCAGGCTATATAAGATACCACCACCCCCTCACCCCAAACATACACACATTCACACACACATTGTGGGGGGACAAGATTGGCACGTCAAGATATGATATATACACCCCCACCCCAAACATACACACATACACACACATTGTGGGGGGACAAGATTGGCACGTCAAGATATGTTAGATACACCCCAACCCCAAACATACACACATACACACACATTGTGGGGAAACAAGATGGGCACCACAGGATATGTAAGATACACCGCCCACCGCACCCAAACATACATACATACACACACATTGTGGGGAAACAAGATGGGCACCACAGGATATGTAAGATACACCGCCCACCGCACCCAAACATACATACATACACACACATTGTGGGGAAACAAGATGGGCACCACAGGATATGTAAGATACACCGCCCACCGCACCCAAACATACATACATACACACACATTGTGGGGAAACAAGATGGGCACCACAGGATATGTAAGATACACCGCCCACCGCACCCAAACATACATACATACACACACATTGTGGGGAAACAAGATGGGCACCACAGGATATGTAAGATACACCGCCCACCGCACCCAAACATACATACATACACACACATTGTGGGGAAACAAGATGGGCACCACAGGATATGTAAGATACACCGCCCACCGCACCCAAACATACATACATACACACACATTGTGGGGAAACAAGATGGCCACCACAGGATATGTAAGATACACCGCCCACCGCACCCAAACATACATACATACACACACATTGTGGGGAAACAAGATGGGCACCACAGGATATGTAAGATACACCGCCCACCGCACCCAAACATACATACATACACACACACACATTGTGGGGAAACAAGATGGGCACCACAGGATATGTAAGATACACCGCCCACCGCACCCAAACATACATACATACACACACACACATTGTGGGGAAACAAGATGGGCACCACAGGATATGTAAGATACACCGCCCGCCGCATCCAAACATACATACATACACACACATTGTGGGGAAACAAGATGGGCACCACAGGATATGTAAGATACACCGCCCACCGCACCCAAACATACATACATACACACACACACATTGTGGGGAAACAAGATGGGCACCACAGGATATGTAAGATACACGGCCCACCGCACACAAACATACATACATACACACACATTGTGGGGAAACAAGATGGGCACCACAGGATATGTAAGATACACCGCCCACCGCATCCAAACATACATACATACACACACATTGTGGGGAAACAAGATGGGCACCACAGGATATGTAAGATACACCGCCCACCGCATCCAAACATACATACATACACACACATTGTGGGGAAACAAGATGGGCACCACAGGATATGTAAGATACACCGCCCACCGCACCCAAACATACATACATACACACACACATTGTGGGGAAACAAGATGGGCACCACAGGATATGTAAGATACACCGCCCACCGCACCCAAACATACATACATACACACACATTGTGGGGAAACAAGATGGGCACCACAGGATATGTAAGATACACCGCCCACCGCATCCAAACATACATACATACACACACATTGTGGGGAAACAAGATGGGCATCACAGGATATGTAAGATACACCGCCCACCACATCCAAACATACATACATACACACACATTGTGGGGAAACAAGATGGGCACCACAGGATATGTAAGATACACCGCCCACCGCACCCAAACATACATACATACACACACATTGTGGGGAAACAAGATGGGCACCACAGGATATGTAAGATACACCGCCCACCGCACCCAAACATACATACATACACACACATTGTGGGGAAACAAGATGGGCACCACAGGATATGTAAGATACACCGCCCACCGCACCCAAACATACATACATACACACACATTGTGGGGAAACAAGATGGGCACCACAGGATATGTAAGATACACCGCCCACCGCACCCAAACATACATACATACACACACATTGTGGGGAAACAAGATGGGCACCACAGGATATGTAAGATACACCGCCCACCGCATCCAAACATACATACATACACACACATTGTGGGGAAACAAGATGGGCACCACAGGATATGTAAGATACACCGCCCACCGCACCCAAACATACATACATACACACACACATTGTGGGGAAACAAGATGGGCACCACAGGATATGTAAGATACACCGCCCACCGCACCCAAACATACATACATACACACACATCGTGGGTAAACAAGATGGGCACCACAGGATATGTAAGATACACCGCCCACCGCACCCAAACATACATACATACACACACACACATTGTGGGGAAACAAGATGGGCACCACAGGATATGTAAGATACACCGCCCACCGCACCCAAACATACATACATACACACACACATTGTGGGGAAACAAGATGGGCACCACAGGATATGTAAGATACACCGCCCACCGCACCCAAACATACATACATACACACACACACATTGTGGGGAAACAAGATGGGCACCACAGGATATGTAAGATACACCGCCCACCGCATCCAAACATACATACATACACACACATTGTGGGGAAACAAGATGGGCACCACAGGATATGTAAGATACACCGCCCACCGCACCCAAACATACATACATACACACACACATTGTGGGGAAACAAGATGGGCACCACAGGATATGTAAGATACACCGCCCACCGCACCCAAACATACATACATACACACACATTGTGGGGAAACAAGATGGGCACCACAGGATATGTAAGATACACCGCCCACCGCACCCAAACATACATAAATACACACACATTGTGGGGAAACAAGATGGGCACCACAGGATATGTAAGATACACCGCCCACCGCACCCAAACATACATACATACACACACATTGTGGGGAAACAAGATGGGCACCACAGGATATGTAAGATACACCGCCCACCGCACCCAAACATACATACATACACACACATTGTGGGGAAACAAGATGGGCACCACAGGATATGTAAGATACACCGCCCACCGCACCCAAACATACATACATACACACACACATTGTGGGGAAACAAGATGGGCACCACAGGATATGTAAGATACACCGCCCACCGCACCCAAACATACATACATACACACACACATTGTGGGGAAACAAGATGGGCACCACAGGATATGTAAGATACACCGCCCACCTCACCCAAACATACATACACACACACACATTGTGGGGAAACAAGATGGGCACCACAGGATATGTAAGATACACCGCCCACCGCACCCAAACATACATACATACACACACATTGTGGGGAAACAAGATGGGCACCACAAGATATGTAAGATACACCGCCCACCGCACCCAAACATACATACATACACACACATTGTGGGGAAACAAGATGGGCACCACAGGATATGTAAGATACACCGCCCACCGCATCCAAACATACATACATACACACACACATTGTGGGGAAACAAGATGGGCACCACAGGATATGTAAGATACACCCCCCCAAACATACACACATACACACATTGTGTGGGGGACAAGATTGGCACGTCATATGTAAGATACACCCCCCCCCCAACACAGCGGCTGCACAATAGCGTGAAAAAAAATATATCAGCGTGGCTAAACAACATCGAGACAACACAACGACGTAAACAGATGAAAGTCGTATTTAAAATTTAAAAAAAAACGTGACAGACCTGTACAGAGGTGGGCTTTCTGTGTTCAATAGGCCTGGTAAGTTTTAAAAGCCTCCCCCCCACCCGAATGAAAGTTTTTTTAGCGCAATTTCCATACTGGGGGATTGCGATTATTAACTTGTCATTTCTGGATGGATGTGTGTGCGCAGCGTGTCCGCAGCTTTAAGTCGTATCTCCTCCTCAACAAAGCAATATCGAGGACTAGTTCCAAAAGCAAATATGTTAAGCAAGTTCCGAGGATGAACATAGGCCTAAAAAATTCCCGGAATTCCTTCCTGGATTTCCCGGAAAAGCCAAAAAACCTCGGAAAAAAATGCAGTTTTTGGCCCATATCTCGGCAACCAGACCACTTAGCCACTTGAAACATTTACCAATCGATTCCTGCTATAATTTAGAACAATATTGCAGAAGAAAGTTTTCAAAAATATCCTTTCGTTCGGTCACAAAATGTTTTTTAAAATTACATTATACATAATACACTACAGTACTATATAGCAATAAAGAGAGCGCGACAACAAATACCCCCTACACGTCCGCATATTTTTTTAATCTCGTTAATAAATATTTTTTCTATTTTGTTTTGAATTATTAAAACTACTTGTGTTGCATTATTTAATTGCTGAATATATGATTTATCTCGATTTAAAATTGTTATGGATAACATAAGGAAATTGCGCTTAAATTGTCACTAGACTTTTTATTAACTTGTTTTTTTATATTGCATGTTTTGCTATCCACGCTTGAATTTTATGCCTTGGTATGAGGGAATGGTAAAATGCCAAGAATTTAAAAAGAATAATTAAAACACTAATAGGACTATTACAGGCACTTTCCTGAGGGCCTACCGAGATATTTTTTCTTGAGGACCATCGGGATGTATCACGTTAAACCGGTGGGCCAGACGTTACTATTGGTATCTTTACAAAGCTACATATCTATTGGTATGGGGTCGTCCATAAATGACGTCACATTTGTAAGGGGAAGGGGGACCGTAATTTTGTCACGGTGTGTGACGGAGGGGAGGGCGGGGGGGGGGGAGGTAAAAATCGTCAAAAAAAGCGTGACGTCATTTATGGATGACCCCTATCCTTACATAGCTACATATCTGTTGGTATCTTTACATAGTTACATATCATAAACGACCCCCCCACCGCATTGCGGGATCTGGAGGCACTGTGGTTCCGCCCCTGGGGCCAGTCCACCCCTGGACAAGTGTGGCGAAACAAGACCTGTGGTCATAAACACGACTTATAAACAACTTGACAAAACAACAAAATATAAACGCAACAGCGTGAACACATGAGAACGTGACATCGCAACAACGTGATAACACAACAACGTGACCAGAGAATAGCGTGGCGACATATTACATAACCGCGGACACACAACTAACATCATGACGGCATATCAAACTAGCAACACAACTATGTGAATGCGTAAAGTCGTGATAAAAACGTGATAACAACGTGACAACAATACACACAACGTGACAACAATACACACAACGTGACACAAAAAATGTACGTGATAACATAAAACGCGCGCGACAAAATAACCAGATTCACTGGTTTGAACACCCCCCCCCCCCCCAGGTAAAAATAAAAACTAATATCATTAGCTGAACGTTTGTTTACTTCCTTTAAGGGAGAATCATATTAATATTTCAAAGATGATATTGACGGGCAGATGGAGAGTAGGTAGCGTAGATACGTGGGGGGGGGGGGCAATAAGATATGGTGGAGGGTGGATTGATGAGGTTAAGAATGAATGAATGTGGTTGGAAAGGGGGTGAGGAGCATTATTAGAGGGAGGTGGGGGGTAAAGATTGGTGAAGCGAGGCAGAGGAAGATTGGTGGAGGGATGTATAAAGAAAGGGATGACGGGAAGTGGATGAAGACGAGTATATGGGAGGTGGGGGGAAGATGGATAAAGAGATGATGGCACTGTTTCTTTCAGACTTTTTTCCGGGGGGGGGGACGGACTAAATTTTTCCAGAGGGGGGGGGAATGGGCGGACATTGATACATTTATATATTTTCTATATACATTCTATTTTATTTGGGGGTGGGGATAGGGCGGTAGACGTACTTGAGGGGCATCCCCCCTCTTCCCCCCCCCCCCCCCCCCCCCCGAAGAGATGCTAGTGAGTGAATGAGGTATACTTTGCCCTGACTAACCAACTCTCTCTCTCTCTCTCTACAGACAAACAGCTGGGCCGGATAGTGCTGGGATCCTTCATGTTCGCCAGGGGCAAGGAACTCGAGCACTGGAACCAGATGATAACCAACCAAAGGGAGCAAATCCTTCACTGGCACACTCTGTCTTAGCAATCACGAGTTACCGTTCCTACAAAACCGGAGGAAGGGAAAAAAAAATTTCACATGTTTTCATGAAATTTTCAAGGCCTTATGACGTCACGTCACCGCCTACATTTACAAATTCAATTTTTTTTTTTGTTAAATTTGTTTTGAATTTTTTTTTGGGAATAAACTTCACATTTTTTCCCTACATGGCAGCAAGCTAGTTAATTAATGTTTTTTTTTTAATTAGACTGGCAGGATACGCCCCTTAAAATTCAACAAATGGATGTGGAATGGTAGACGAAATTTTTTTTTCTGAGAAGGTTTCATATGAAAGACAGAACTGTGACCTATAGAACGGTGTAAGTGTAAGCTTCTATAGGGCTGGTAAGTAGGTCACCAACCAGTTCTATGGCTCATGCAGGTTTTTATTGAGCCGTAGAACTTGTTGGTGACCTACTTACCAGCCCTATAGCTAAAGATTCTACGTTTTCTTCGCACAATGGAGATAAAAATGTGTTCTTTTATAACGATGGACACACAATGTTTTCAACAATTTAGCAACTGAATAGGGATGTGTTCTACAAATATACAGTGAACAAGGTATTTGTTCTGAGCTTCAGAAATGGGAAAACGATTTGTTTTACATCTGAAGTGTGAAGGTTTATTGTTCTATTTGGACTTCGGTGAAGGATTTTGATCTATCAGCAAGATGGACAAGGGATTTGTTCTATTAACAAGACGAACTAAGAATTTGTTCTACAGCTGAACGTGTAGCTGCTGACCGATGTTGATTAGAACAATGTCTAGAACAAAGTGTATAGAACAAAATGTATGGAACAAAATGTATAGAACAAAATGTATGAAACAGATGTCTAGAACAAAATGTATAGAACAAAATGTATGGAACAAAATGTATAGAACAAAATGTATGAAACAAATGTCTAGAACAAAGTGTATGAAACAAAATGTATAGAACAAAATGTATAGAACAAAATGTATGAAACAAATGTCTAGAACAAAGTGTATGGAACAAAATGTATAGAACAAAATGTATAGAACAAAATGTATGAAACAAATGTCTAGAACAAAGTGTATGGAACAAAATGAATAGAACATAATGTATAGTACAAAATGTATAGAACAAAATGTATGAAACAAATGTCTAGAACAAAGTGTATAGAACATAATGTATAGATCAAAATGTATGGGACAAAGTGTATAGAACAAAATGTATAGAACAAAATGTCTAGAACAAAATGTTTTGAGAGAACTGTTCAATGTTGTGACTTGGGCTTTAGGTGTCTAGATCTTTAGACCATCAGTCTAATTATGCAATGATGAGCTCAGTGTTTGGTGTGTGGGTTCATGTGTAATACATGTGTGGGTTCATGTACAATTTGTGTGTGGGTTCATGTCCAATTGGTGTGTGGGTTCATGTGTAAAAAATGTGTGGGTTCATGTCCAATTGGTGTGTGGGTTCATGTCCAATTGGTGTGTGGGTTCATGTCCAATTGGTGTGTGGGTTCATGTCCAATTGGTGTGGTGATGTGTTAGGCTGATGTTGAAAATTGATGAGTGGGTTGATGTAAAACTGATGTTTTATGTTGATGTGAAATTGATGTTTGATCTTGATGTAAAATTGATGTGTGATTTTTATGTGAAATTGATGTCTGATTTTGATGCAAAATTGATGTGTGATTTTATGTGAAATTGATGTTTGATCTTGATGTAAAATTGATGTGTGATTTTTATGTGAAATTGATGTCTGATTTTGATGTAAAATCGATGTGTGATTTTGATGTGAAATTGCTGTGTGGGCTGATGTAAAATTGATTCGTGACTTTGATATAAAATTGATGTCTGAAGTTGATGTGAAATTGATCTATGAGTTGATGTGTAACTTGTAAGGTTGATTTTATCGATGTGCAAGTATGAAGTTGAACATACACGTAGCATGTAACGGGTGTCAAAATATGTGGCACTTATAACTATTTCTCGGGTCTATAAAAATGTGCTCAGTTTTTCTTTTTTACTTACTCCATGTAGAAGTAACATTGGGTTACTGCTGGGGGTCGGCGGGTGGGTTTTAGGAGAACAGAGGGGTCTGAATACGATGATGGTTATAGTAGTACTACAGGTACTGAGGTATTTCCTAGGGATGAATGAGGACCCCCCCCTTTACCCCACACTAGTGCGAATTCTACAAAACATAAATTTGTTATTGGCCTTGATTTTTTTTAAAGAATTAATTATATGCTTGTGTGATCCATGTATTAACTGTATTAGTTGCCTGTAGTACGCGCCATTATACATACATATACATATCAGTACTAGCATGTTTACCAAGGCTGCAACGGTTATAATAAAATGTAACTAATCTTAAGTAGGTAAAGTTGTTTTTTTTTAAATTAACGCAACTAATTACTATTTTAAATGGAAGTAATTAATTAAATATTAAAATACCATGACAATATTTTGGAGTAGAAGGCGGCCTTTAAATAAATTAGTCTTACAATCACGTGACTTCTAGACGTGCGTCACTGGTGTAGTAGTCTCTAGCAGTAAAAAAACAAATGTTTTGGTGACCTTTAGTAACGAGTCACCATTTGTGTGATCAACGCCTTTACTGTGTTCATGTTGAGTGTTTCTCTATGTCCATTATATCGTGTGTTTAATGTCTTATATCTGATGTTCGACGTTTTTTATATTAATAAAAACAAAACTAAATTTGTTTCCTATTTCGAGGTATTGATTCATACAATGCGTCTTGGTAAAATCAAAAGTTACATGTATACAGAACTTTCTAACTTTCTTTTCGTTGGTTTAAAAATAAAACCTCATGTAGAAAAATAAAATTGGTATAATAAATAATTTTTCTTATTATATAAGTATTGAATTTTTAAAATAGATAACTAAATTAGATACAGTGTTAACATTTTGACCATGAAAATATTTACAAGCAATGAAGTTTGACGTCAGCTTTAAGGAAACAATAACAAATGACGTGTGAATAAAAACTAACCCCCACAAGGGCAATATACATCATATTGGTTTTACTGTTTACAATGAGGAAAGATCTATAAACGCAACGTCATTTGTTGAGTTTTTTTTTGTCTTTGGTTGTATCTGTGTTTATATCGAATCGTCATGCTTCTTTGTTTGTAAATATTTTCTTATGTTTCTAATCACTGGTGCTTTTCTTATAAGGCTGAAATCTTTAGTGTTAGATTAATTTAAACAAGTCATCAAAATAACAGAGCCCAAGCATTTGATCAGACATGTCATAGGTTACTGTAACTTTTGAAAATAAAAATAAAAATTTCAGCATTCTTGTTTGTAGTGTATTGAGTTTTTTTTTATTTCTTTATAAAAATCTCATTTGAATGAACATAAGTTTTATTTTTTTGTCACGGAGAGTGGTTAATGATTGGGTAAAGTATTGATTGGGGATTGATGATTGGGGTAGATTGAGAGCTTAGACATCAAAGACCGGTTCAACTAGGTGTTGTGTGTTCTTGAGGTACTCACAGGTCCTTAAATGACGTCACAAGGGGGGGGGGGGATATGCGTGTGTGTGTGAGTGTGTGGGGAGACGGGAGGTAGGACTTTTGGGCCTGAATCAATCTCAGCTCTAATGGGTACCTGTTTAAAGTCAAGGCGGCTGGGGGAAGAAAAAGCTTATCACACAACTCTTTCATAGGTCGAGGTCAAACAAACAGTAGAACTCTACTTCATCTGTCAAAAAGCTGACTAGAAATTTCTTCATAGGCCGAGGTCAAACAAGAAGAAGAACTCTACTTCACCTGTCCAAAAGCTGACTAGAAATTTCTTCATAGGCCGAGGTCAAACAAGAAGAAGAACTCTACTTCACCTGTCCAAAAGCTGACTAGAAATTTCTTCATAGGCCGAGGTCAAACAAACAGAAGAACTCTACTTCATCTGTACAAGCGCTGACGAAAAACTCCATCAGAGACCGTGGTCAAACAAATGAATATAAGAACGACTTTAAAGATAGTAACGTTACTCTTGCTAACCAGGCGAACCATGGGGTAGATGAAGTAGAGTTCACCTATCTCTTCAACCTCTTCATTAGAAACGTAAGTACTAGGACTGCTGTTTTAAACGTATATGCCCACCCTTCACATCACAGACACAAATAGACAGATAACAGTCATCTGTACTATGTTTATATTGGTGTAGTCTACCTCGCTCTCTCATTAAGTGAGTACAGAGAGATCTAATCCGCAAAATATAACATGATAGTTACATACCCCTAAGATAAGAGATGATATTTGAATTTCACATGGGGTCAAGAAATAATGATTAAAGAAAACGTGAGGTCAAGAGGTGAAGGTCACGTGTGGTCAAGAGGCGAAGGTCTCATGTCACGTGTGTGAGGTCAAGAGATGACGACCGAAGGTTACGTGAGGTCAAGAGATGAAGGTCAAAGGTCACGTGAGGTCAAGAGGTGAAGGTCTAAGGTCACGTGAGGTCAAGAGGTGACGGTCAAAGGTCACGTGTGGTCAAGAGGTGAAGGTCTAAGGTCACGTGAGGTCAAGAGATGATGATTATAGAAAACGTTTGACCAATAGTAGTGAAAGAGAGGTGATCCAGACAAAAAAATTGTTGAAGGGGATGGGGTAAGGGGGGGGGGTGTACTGACACCCTAAGTCACCGCACGGTTGACACCCGACCTAGTGACGTCACAGGATCAAGTAGCTTAACTTAACTAGCTAATGTGTCAATATAAAGATCTAGTGGCTAATATATTAATAAAAGCCGAAAAGATAAAAATAAATATATGTATGTATGTATGTATGTAAATATATATATATATATATATATATATATATATATATATATATATATATATATATATATATATATATATATATATATATATATATATATATATATTATAAACCAATTTTTTTTGCATTTCCCTTTAGTGACAAAATCCTGCCATCGACAGACCAGTATGATTAGCAACTGCTATAACGCCCCAAAGTCTCATCCAATTAAAGATCCTTGTGAGAAGTTGACATTAATAATGTATCAGCCTTTTTAATCGAACCAGTTAGGTGCCCGTTTGGTGTGGGGAGGGAAACGTTGATTGTTGGAGAACGGGCCTAGATACTAGTAACAGTTCAATAAATAATTGAGCCCATTCATTTAGTAGGCCGATTCATGATATATTTAGTTTTTTTATATGGACGAAAGAGCCTGTGATGTTTTTGAGTGGACGTCAGGGGTGGACGTTTAGACGTCAGTAGAGGACGTCTTTGAGATGTATAATAGCTAACCTCACAGGCATGTAGAGTTAGTCATTGATCTTGGTCTATTGTTCTTCAAAGGTCAAGGTCAGCTGTTCCACAAAGGTCTAGGTCAGCTGTTCCACAAAGGTCTACACCTCTACAAAGGTCAACACTTCTACAAAGGTCAACATTTCTACAAAGGTCAACACTTCTACAAAGGTCAACACTTCTACAAAGGTCAACACTTCTACAAAGGTCAACACTTCTACAAAGGTCAACACTTCTACAAAGGTCAACACTTCTACAAAGGTCAACACTTCTGTAAAGGTCAACACTTCTGTAAAGGTCAACACTTCTGTAAAGGTCAACACTTCTGTAAAGGTCAACACTTCTGTAAAGGTCAACACTTCTACAAAGGTCAACACTTCTACAAAGGTCAACACTTCTGTAAAGGTCAACACTTCTGTAAAGGTCAACACTTCTACAAAGGTCAACACTTCTGTAAAGGTCTAGTTCAACTCTTGGGTGCGCTGGGGGGTTTTCTATCTGCTGGGTCTATAGGAGCCATTAGTGTCTAGGGCTATATTTCAACAAAAGATTGTCTAGTTCAACATTTCAACAAAAGCGTGTCCACGTCAACTTTGACAATCAAACACCCTGTCTAACAATCCTACAAACGAAGGATCCAGTCGACTCACACAAAACCACACATTTTCTCACACGAAGGATCCAGTCGACTCACACAAAACCACACATTTTCTCACACGAAGGATCCAGTCGACTCACACAAAACCACACATTTTCTCACACGAAGGATCCAGTCGACTCACACAAAACCACACATTTTCTCACACGAAGGATCCAGTCGACTCACACAAAACCACACATTTTCTCACACGAAGGATCCAGTCGACTCACACAAAACCACACATTTTCTCACACGAAGGATCCAGTCGACTCACACAAAACCACACATTCTCTCACACGAAGGATCCAGTCGACTCACACAAAACCACACATTTTCTCATCCGCTTTCCATCTCTAACCAAATTATTCCAGAGTTTTTTACGAAAAAAATTTCCCCCAACCAATCCTGTCTAAAGTCCAGTTGAGTTCCAGTGTGAGCTCTCTGTTATGGCCTAATCTGCTCACCTAAAAACATAACATCCTTGTTCTGGTGAGATTTGCCTGCAAATCCAACACGCCGATAATCCACTCGTGAAGGATTTACATTTTTTAAAATTGTTTTTCAATTTTGCAAATTGTTTAGCACGCGACGGGCATTTCTTTTTATCATACGACTAGTTCTACTCAATTTGTTTAACACAAGCTTTGTCCTAAAATTTGTTTCATAAGGTTCGTCCTATACAACTGTTTATCATAAGGTTCGTCCTACCCATGTATTTATCATAAGGCTCTTCCTACCCATGTATTTATCATAAGGCTCTTCCTACCCATGTATTTATCATAAGACTCGTCCTACCCATGTATTTATCATAAGGCTCGTCCTACCCATGTATTTATCATAAGGCTCGCCCTACCCATGTATTTATCATAAGACTCGTCCTACCCATGTATTTATCATAAGACTCGTCCTACCCATGTATTTATCATAAGACTCGTCCTACCCATGTATTTATCATATCATAAGGCTCGTCCTACCCATGTATTTATCATAAGACTCGTCCTACCCATGTATTTATCATATCATAAGACTCGTCCTACCCATGTATTTATCATAAGACTCGTCCTACCCATGTATTTATCATAAGGCTCTTCCTACCCATGTATTTATCATAAGACTCGTCCTACCCATGTATTTATCATAAGGCTCGTCCTACCCATGTATTTATCATAAGACTCGTCCTACCCATGTATTTATCATATCATAAGACTCGTCCTACCCATGTATTTATCATAAGGCTCGCCCTACCCATGTATTTATCATAAGGCTCGTCCTACCCATGTATTTATCATAAGGCTCGCCCTACCCATGTATTTATCATAAGGCTCGTCCTACCCATGTATTTATCATAAGACTCGTCCTACCCGTGTATTTATCATATCATAAGACTCGTCCTACCCATGTATTTATCATAAGGCTCGCCCTACCCATGTATTTATCATAAGGCTCGTCCTACCCATGTATTTATCATAAGGCTCGCCCTACCCATGTATTTATCATAAGGCTCGTCCTACCCATGTATTTATCATAAGACTCGTCCTACCCATGTATTTATCATAAGGCTCGTCCTACCCATGTATTTATCATAAGACTCGTCCTACCCATGTATTTATCATAAAGCTCGTCCTCACTAGAATTATTCTCGTCGAACCTACTCCAATCATTAGACTCGCCCTTCACGTTGTGTTTTTAAAGGCTAGTCCTGTCTATTTGTTTATTTTGTGTATCATAGGCTCGCTTGAGGCTCGTCCTGTCCACATATTTATTAAAGGTTCGTACACGGCTCGTCCTATCTGTCAAAGATTCGCATTAGGCTCGTCCTACCTATTTGCTTATTATAGGTTCGCACAAGGTTCGTTCTGCCCATATACTGATGTTCGTACAAGGCTCGTCCTACCTATTTGTTTAGCAAAGGTTCGCACAAGGTTCGTCCTGCCCATTTACTGATGATTCGTACAAGGTTCGTCCTACCTATCTGTTATCAACTGTTCCCATACCAAAAGCTCGCATCAGTGTCCTACCTATATGTCTAAAACCTAAACTATCAATACTTCTAGTATTAAACTCCCATTACCAGTTTTAACGTTAGGTTAATACTTACTGCTAATCTACCATTAGCACTTTTTTCGGTTCATAAATTCTTGCTGTTTTGACCTCTTTCGATGGTGATAAACGAAATAGGGAGGTGAAGGTTTCGGCGACATAAAGTAAGTCCCCCTACCCCACCCCCTTTCTCCTACCTCTTCACAAAATGGTTCTTCATAGAAACACTTTTAAAAAAAATATTTTAACAAGAAATTTCCTTCGTCTGGGGATCAATTTACCACCGTTATTTTCGCCTTCCTTTGTTTTATAATTTACTTAACCGAGCATGAATAGATTCCTTTCTTCTTTCTTTCTATTTTTTTATTTTTTTGAAGAATCCATTTTTCAACCCCCTCTTCCCTCGGATGTAATATTCCAAGCGAACGTTATCTGTCGAAGTGTTTGATAAAAAAGCTTGTATTGACGAGGGCCGGGTGTATTGACACACGGTGGGGGTGAACCTAGACCTGAATACGCCGCATCTTGGAGATCGAACTTTCCTTCAGGAGATGCCGTCTGTGTGTGTGGATCGATATCCAGCGATAGCATGCCGGATAGTATGGAAGACGGCAAGTGCTAATTTTCATATTTTTTAAATTATTTTTTTTTTAATTCTATCGCAATGTAGAAAAAAATGTATTATTAAAAATAATTTAATTAGAAGCATCAGAAAGAATTGTATTACATGTTGTAAAACGCGTGACGTCATTTTGTCACGTGATTTCAATTTTTATTTTTATTTTCCTGATTATAAATCGCGTATAATTTAGGTTGATTCCACGGAACTTCAGTACTGTGGTGAAAAGAATAAACTTCGATTATTGTGAATCAGGTGCATTTCGGGAACCGTAGGCTCGTGTTTGGCTGAGGGGAGGGGAGAGGAGGGGTAGGCTAGTGTGTCACATCCTGGGACTCGGTGTGTGCGTTGTGTGCGTATGTGTGTGTGTGTGTGCTCGACACACGCACCTCACCGAACACAGGTCTAGACGGACGGTCGTCCTGCACACAGTTGAGTCTGCCGTCTGCTTGTGATTATCGAAGATGGCTGATGTTGACATGACATGACAGTGATGACAAGGGTGAGTTGTGACATTTCTTCCATGCTGTATATTGTCAGTTAGAACATTTCTTCCATGCTGTATATTGTCAGTTATGACATTTCTTCCATGCTGTATTCCGTGAGCTATGACATATATGTATGCGTTACGTAATGCTATGACATTTCTTCCATGCTGTATATTGTCAGTTATGACATTTCTATCATGCTGTATTCCGTGAGCTATGACATATATGTATGCGTAACGTAATGCTATGACATTTCTTCCATGCTGTATATTGTCAGTTATGACATTTCTATCATGCTGTATTCCGTGAGTTTTGACACTTCTTATTGCATCACGTAATGCTATGACGTTTCTTCCAAGCATTCTGTGAGTTATGATATTTCTTCCATGTTATATTCTGTGAGTTATGACGTATCTTCCAAGCATTCTGTTAGTTATGACATTTCTTCCACGCTGTATTTTGTGAGTTATGACATTTCTTCCATGTTATATTCTGTTAGTTATGACATTTCTTCCACGCTGTATTTTGTGAGTTATGATATTTCTTCCATGTTATATTCTATTTGTTATGACATTTCTTCGACGCAGTTACAACATTTCATTCATGTTAAACTCTGTAGTTATAAAAATTTATCAATATTGTAGGCCTATTCTGTAAGTAGTGACATTTTCTCCTATTCTGTATTTTTTAAATATCATTTAGTAATCAACACATATTTTTATAAAGCAATTGCTTGCATACTCTACTACAAATTAATATTTCAAAATCGTTGTATAGAAACACAAACCGTATTCCAAACACTACTACACATTAATATATCGATTCATTTTGCAGAAGTAGTAGAGTTTATATATTTCTTGACCTCGGCGTATGAGAGGACTTAGATACATTAAGTTCGTTAAGAGAGTAGTATTAATTACCTTCACGTGCTTTAAACAATGCATGCTATCACATCAATACATTTTAGCATATATTATTAAGTAATGCAATAAACATCATTAAGCACAATCGTTATGTTACAACTTGGTTGATACATTATGAGATGGACTTTTTCTATACGATAGGACCTAGACTTTATAAATACAATGTAACTAAGACTTTGTCTATTCAGTATGACTTAGACTGTCCATTGAATTTGAATTGGTTATGGCTTTAACTTGGCCCACACATTAATGACTTTGACTTGATCCCCACATGACTTTGACTTGATCCTTACATTATGACTTAGCGAGCACATGACTAATGTCCCACATCTACTGCTGTGATATTTCTTTGTTGTTTTAAACGGCATTCCGTCAAAGCAGAAGTCGGTCAGACAATGTTGCTGTTGTAAGGTCGGTGTTTTGTGAGGTCGGTGTTTTGTGAGGTTGGTGTGTTGTGAAGTCGGTGTGTTGTGAGGTCGGTGTGTTGTGAAGTCGGTGTGTTGTGAAGTCGGTGGGTTGTGAAGTCGGTGTGTTGTGAGGTCGGTGTGTTGTGAGGTCGGTGTGTTGTGAGGTTGGTGTGTTGTGAAGTCGGTGGGTTGTGAAGTCGGTGGGTTGTGAAGTCGGTGTGTTGTGAAGTCGGTGTGTTGTGAGGTTGGTGTGTTGTGAGGTCGGTGTGTTGTGAGGTCGGTGTGTTGTGAAGTCGGTGTGTTGTGAAGTCGGTGTGTTGTGAAGTCGGTGTGTTGTGAGGTTGGTGTGTTGTGAGGTTGGTGTGTTGTGAAGTCGGTGTGTTTGAGGGTGGTGTGTTGTGAAGTCGGTGTGTTGTGAAGTCGGTGTGTTGTGAAGTCGGTGTGTTGTGAAGTCGGTGTGTTGTGAGGTTGGTGTGTTGTGAGGTCGGTGTGTTGTGAGGTCGGTGTGTTGTGAAGTCGGTGTGTTGTGAAGTCGGTGTGTTGTGAAGTCGGTGTGTTGTGAGGTTGGTGTGTTGTGAGGTTGGTGTGTTGTGAAGTCGGTGTGTTTGAGGGTGGTGTGTTGTGAAGTCGGTGTGTTGTGAAGTCGGTGTGTTGTGAAGTCGGTGTGTTGTGAAGTCGGTGTGTTGTGAGGTCGGTGTGTCGTGAGGTCGGTGTGTTGTGAAGTCGTTGTGTTGTGAAGTCGGTGTGTTGAGAAGTCGGTGCGTTGTGAGGTCGGTGTGTTGTGAAGTCGGTGGGTTGTGAGGTTGGTGTGTTGTGAAGTCGGTGTGTTGTGAGGTCGGTGTGTTGTGAAGTCGGTGTGTTGTGAAGTCGGTGTGTTGTGAAGTCGGTGTGTTGTGAAGTCGGTGTGTTGTGAAGTCGGTGTGTTGTGAAGTCGATGTGTTGGCTTATTCGTGATCGAGTCGACTGTACAGCTGACAGATTTCACAGCAAGAATTCTCGCTCGGCTTCGTGTGCCAGCCTTAGTAAGGGGAAGTAGAGTTAGGCTGGACAAGGCGCAGATTGTGTAGTAGTTTGAAATTTTTGACATTGTACATGGATTGTACATCATATAACATAGAACGGACACGTATTTTGATATACCCACATTTAAGAAGAATATAAACTCTACTTCATCTGCCCTATTTAACTCCCCTTATTGGGTAAAGAAACAGGTAAACTCTACTTCATCTGCCCTACTTACCTCCTCGGGTCATGTAATAAAAAACAGAATAACTACTTCATCTACCCTATTTAATGTCATGGGTCGTATAAAAAACATACAGGTAAACTCTAATTCATCTGTCCTATTTTAACTCCACGGGTCAAAACAAGTACTCTATTTCATGCGCCCTATTTAACTCCCTGGGTCATGTCATAAAAAGACAGAATAACTCTACTTCATCTGTCCTATTTAATGTTCCGTGTCGTGTCAAAGAAACAGGTAAACTCTACTTCATCTGCCTTATTTAACTCCCCGTGTCATGTCATAAAAAAACAGAATAACTACTTCATCTACCCTATTTAACCACCCCCCCCTCTCCCCCCCCCCCCCCCCCATCCAGGACGGATGAAGATACACTTCCGTAGTAAGGCACCGCGAATCTACGGTTTTTGCATCCAAAGCGGATGTTGCCTAGAGTTGAATCGATGAACGTGTGAGGGTTGCGGGATGGCACAGTGAGCGGCTGGGTTGTCAGTGTAACAGTTAGGGTTGGCTTTAGTCATGGGTGCACCTGATGTGTCCACGGGGCCCGGGAACTTTTAATGGGGGCCCCAATCCCCAAATTTTTTCCCCATCAAAGCCGGATGATCATCCTCAGCTTGATGAAAATTCACGCGATAAATATATATTTTTAAAATCAAAGCACTAATAAGCCCAGTGTCGCGCCGATCATGGTGGCCCACCAGTATTTTTAAACCTGGGGGCCCACCGGAGTTTTTTAACCTATGCGCCCAGCGGGATATTTTTAACCAAGGGGCCCACAGGGATTTTTTTTTACCTGGGGCCCATGGGGATTTTTTTTACCTTGGGGCCCACAGGGGTTTTGTACCTAGGGGCCCATGGGGATTTTTTTACCTTGGGGCCCACAGGGGTTTTGTACCTAGGGGCCCATGGGGATTATTTTACCTGGGGCCCACCGCGATTTTTTTTTACCTGGAGTCCCACAGGGATTTTTTAAAACTGGAGTCCCACAGGGATTTTCGTCAGTAGACCGGTGGGTCTGCAACCTGACTTGAGTTAAGGCTTATATTGTAAACTAAATTAATCAAGAACTATGTCAGCAAAGCGCTGAAAGTTGTATTTAAAATATGATTTCTAAATTAAATCTAGTATTTATTCATTTCATAGTTTTCTGATTTAATTCGATCCACTTATTCAATAATTGTTAAATATTAGCAAAATATGGATATATACCGACTATATGATATACATCTCTGTATTTTAGAAGTCAATTATATATACTAAGTACCTACACATTCGTTAGCCCGACGGCCGTTTGCCCTAAAGCCATTTGCCCGAAGGCTGTTTGCCCAAAGGTCATTTCCCCTAAGGCCGTTTGCCCAAAGGCAATTAGCCCGAAGGCCGTTTGCCCGAATGACACTTGCCCACATGAGACACATGCCCGAAAGTCACTTGCCCAAAAATATATATATCATGAAGACCATGCCGGAAGGGAGAGACACATTTTTATGAATCTGGACAAAATTTATGAAGTAAATTTATTTTTTTATATTTTAGTACAATTTTTTTTTCATTTGAGATTTGTGAAAAAATAAAAGCCATTTTCCTTAAATAATTTTAATATGCCTTGGACTGTCTGAATCAGACATGTAAGGGGGGCATGTCTACCGCCCCCCCCCCCCCCCACTCGAACGAAATGGAATTTATATAGGAAATATATATTTTTGACAGTGTCTGCCCCCCCCCCGGAAATTGTTGTCCGCCCCTCCCCCCCCCCCCCCCCCCCCGAAAATTTCAAGTGCACCCCCGGAGAAAAAAGTCTGGAAGAAACACTGTACTCAATGTTCTCTGATAAGTGTTTTTATCCTGTTTAAAGTTTAAGTTGCTTTTCCTTACAATATAATTTTAACGAGTTTTGAAGATAAAATAGTATAATCAATAATTGTTGGAATTGGAAAGCCGCATCTTAACATCAATAGAGCCGCATGCGGCTCGTGAGCCGCAGGTTGCCGACCCCTGCGCTAGTGCATCCGACAAATGAGAACAGTTGTAGATTTTACATTGAGGGCTATTTCTTTCACTATTTTCACCGATGTGTTAAAATTATGCAAACTATGCGCTTAATTTCTGAAAATAAAGATTTAAACCTGGGAGGGGGGGGGGGAGAATGGAGGGGTAGTTGCTATAGTATGAACATTACGATAAAACATGAAGAAAATATATATCCATACAGTAATACACTTTGATCATTCGAACTTTGATATCTACCCTAGTCATTCTTTGTTATAGTTCATAGATACATTTTTTAAATATTTTTTTAAAATACTTTTCTTTTCAAAGAGAAATAATTACATCAGCATATACAAATGTGTGTGTGCGTTAGTCTTTAACATAGCTCAAGGATTTACAAAAAATGTCAATGCATGAGCTAAATGGTGGATAATACTAAAAATGATTTGTCG